GCTGTTGCGTTGATTCGATCTGCTGCCGTACACTAAGGCTGCGCAGAACTGCTCTATTTCGCCGTTTGGTTGACTGCGCAATGCCGCTTCACACAGAAGCTCCGATGCCTGCGCACTGCTACTTCACCCAGAAGTTATGCTGTTGGTTTAGTTCGCTGCCCCACACAGAGGCTGCACTCTTTTACTGTATGTACTTTGATTATGTGTGCTAATGCTTCACCCAGAAGTTTAGATATATGCTGACTGAATACATACACAGAATATGCATGAGCACATGTAGCGGTGATGTATTCTGCTGATTCACCCTGAGCGTCGGCTATATCTGATTGGACCGTAGGATTTCAATTGACGTGCCAGTGTGCACGATTGCGGCTCCGACGTCTCTGCTGCTTAACTAACGCCGCACGCGTTTTGTAGCTGAAGATTTGACGCCCTCGTATACTGCTGCTTCACTTTTGCGCCGCACTTAGCTGGCGCTTTGTCCGGCGTTTAACGAAATTCGAATTTTTTCGATGATAACGGACCTAGCGGCGTCCTAGAATTCGTGGTACAGTTTGGCGACTGTTATATATTAACGCACTGGACAAAATTTCAACCGAACCGAAGAATGGACTGTGGTAATACTCTTACGTACATATGTTGCGCAAATAAAAGTTGCTGAACTGTTTTTGTTAAAAATGTCACACAATTAGCAAGAAAATTTTCCCGCACAGCACTTGTCACAAGACGTAGGAATTTTTAACGAATCCTACTCTGACACCAATTGTAGGGTTCACCGAGTGTAGGGTACTTAAAACACATATTGATTTTGGTTAATAAAGTTGATTTATTTAACAATTACTTTTGATTAATAGTAAGCGTGAGTATTACCACGTCCGTTAGCGTTGAAAGTCGCGCAACAAGTGTGTTTGTGGTTTCGTCTTCATGTCTTTTGTCATTTCTGTTTCGTCCTTTTCTGTGTAGTCAGTGTTGCCCTCGCACTATGTTGAGGGTTGTGTTTATTGGTCGTAGGTAAATGATTACCCTCTGTTTATACGTTCCCACAAGTATGTATTTTTTTAATCGAGATTTTTTCTGTGCGAGAAGCAACGTTCTTGAAAATCCCCTGTCGGTTATGCTAACTACAACCTGCCTGTTCGTTTACGCTAACTAAAACCGCCCATATCCGAAGCGGGAGTTTTTCAATCGGTGTGTAGCAGGACAACGTCTTCCCGGGCTTACTAGTCCATACACACAAACATACATACACGCAAACATTTTCAATAAGTAATGGTATAGAGAAACAATGAACTCTAGAAAAAATCTAATATTTTATCCAACCAAAAACCTTTTTATATACATGGGGAAATATACGACACCAGTCCGATCAAGTGATTGTACTATCAGGCTCGAAGCATATAACTTACCAGCATGCTGGTACAATATTTATTTCTTTACCAAAGAGGTCGTGGAAAGATCGAAGTGATAAGAGCCGCATTTTCATAATTTCTCTACCATTTTGCTAAACATTGTTTTGTTTTTGATGTGTATACATCTTTGGTTTCGGTAGGGGTAAAATTTGCGAAGCTGTAACGCATATCCCAGCACAAAATTTCGAAGGGCTTAGCATGTGTATTTCAGCATAACATTTTTATTTTCATTAGAAGCACCCTGTGTCTGCGTGCCCAATGGTTGCATACATTTAGGCATATGCATAGTAAGAGGAAATGCGATTATTTAAACCCCGCACACGCATACGGCTTTGTACCCATGTATGTACATAAATATGTATGGACTCATTTGTTGCAACTAAAAAGTAAGGCGGAAATTTAAAAAAATACTGAAATCATTTTAACTGGGACCGTTGATAACTGATGAACATACATGAATATATGTATGTTTAATATGCATATGTATGGATGATATAATAGCTCTGATCCAATACTTTTCGTGTAAAATCCTGGAAAAAGGTCAAACAGCAAAATCACTCTCTGAGGTGAGAGTAAAAAGTGAGTAACAGCAAAACTTACGGAACAAAAAAGGATATGGCAAAATCCTGCAACATGAACTGCATTTACATGAACCACAGATTATATTCCGAAAAGAAAAACTAAATTTAGGAATATATACAAATAGAAATGCTCAAACTATAAGCTCAAAAACAATAACTGATGCGGTGTTTCCAAGATATTTTAACGCCCTTAAGTCACAAGTATATACAAGTATATTTTATCAATCATACCGATCATTTCATGTATTAAAATAATTAAAAATGAAAATGAATAAAAAAATTAAATCAGCAAAATGAACAAAATTAAGTGAAGTTAGTGTTTAATTTCTAACCTAACCTACATTTGTATGTATGTAACTGATTCGCCTAATAATAGCTTTACATATAAAAAGATTATCCTAATTTTCTAGCTTAACTCCCTAATCTGTTATTAGAAAAAGTGATTAGCCATGCAAAAATATAATTAAAAATATCTCAGATTAAACCGATAACTTTTTGGAGTCCAACCTAGTTTTATCGATTATACTTGCGAAGAAGAGGAGGAATGTCAAATGCTAAAGTAAACCAAAATTGACGCTAGTAAGGAAAATAGGTTTGTAAATGTGTTTTTAATAAAATATTCAGTTAAAATATATTTAAATGGCATAATATGTGTTGCAGAAAAAAGTGACCACGGTGGCACAGAGAAGAAGTTTAACTTTTCCTCGAGTTGTGTGAATAACATGCACAACCAATTTGACAGCTAACGAGCTTTGATTGAGATTATATTTATATGTAAACGTACTTTTATGCTTTGCCGTTCGCATATGTTTACACATCAAATTTCATGAGTACCTAGTACTCACGCCTTTTTTTTTAATTCACAACTGCAATATCGTGAACTTAATCTTCCACAAACACGGCTTTGACTCATACAGTGCAAGAAATTTTTGCCAAAATACTTTTTGCTTAGAAAATTGAGCTAATTTCATCACTCACGACACCAGCAGCTGGTACAATCACACCACAAGAACATACACAGTCAATCTACTTGATGGGCCATTTAACAAATTAAACATATTAAGGGCCGTAAACTTATCTATTTTAAACTATAGTTAAATCGTTAATAGATAAGTTAGCAGCCCTAAACCTTTTAGAGTATGTATGTATAAAAACGTAAGGAACATAAAATACATATATCATCGTTTAAAGTACAAAAACGCGTATCAACAAAATGCAAAACCGCACATAAAGGTAATGCAAAACCGCGTATGTGAGATTGCATAAATTAATTTCTAGATATTAAAAACACTCATATTTCAAAATGGTTATTTATGTTATAAAGCAACCGCATTTCTGGCTAGTATATTTCAAGGCGAATGGATAAGGATTGAGCCAAGAGCTTCGGTGAGCAAATCTAATTTTTGGCAGCAAATGTCAGTTACGCGGTTTTGCAGAATGGGGATACGCGGTTTTGTACTTTAAACAACGATATGTATATACATAATTATATCAGTCTTTCTTAGTTTAAAAATTCATCTCTTACATAAATGCAAAAGAATAGGTCAAATTAAGCATATACAACTTTTTCATGCCAAGTATGAGTAAATTCTCCAAAGGGCTAAAAAAAAGAGCTAGGGGCAATTTTAAATTTATGTGGCCAAAAAAAGTATGTGGCCAAAAAAAATATATGGTAGCTAAATCTAGCCGCCAAAGGGCTAAAACGGCAACACTGATTGAGTAGGAGTTTGCTCGCTCGCTCGCTCGAACTCCGAGTTTTTGCCTACCCTGCTTTTTTTTTTGACTGTACATACATACGTGCACACATACTATGTATGCAATTGCGGTCTTGCGTTGGCTCATTTTAGGAACAAATAAAATATGTGTGGTGCCGATGTATGTATGTATGTGCAAATATTTACAATTCATTGGTATGTAAGCAATTATATATACCTGAACGTATTATTTTACTGTAGATTTTCAAAGAAAGGATATGAACCAATATAACGGGTGATTTTTTAAGAGCTTGATAACTTTTTTTTAAAAAAAAACGCATAAAATTTGCAAAATCTCATCGGTTCTTTATTTGAAACGTTAGATTGGTCCATGACATTTACTTTTTGAAGATAATTTCATTTAAATGTTGACCGCGGCTGCGTCTTAGGTGGTCCATTCGGAAAGTCCAATTTTGGGCAACTTTTTCGAGCATTTCGGCCGGAATAGCCCGAATTTCTTCGGAAATGTTGTCTTCCAAAGCTGGAATAGTTGCTGGCTTATTTCTGTAGACTTTAGACTTGACGTAGCCCCACAAAAAATAGTCTAAAGGCGTCAAATCGCATGATCTTGGTGGCCAACTTACCGGTCCATTTCTTGAGATGAATTGTTCTCCGAAGTTTTCCCTCAAAATGGCCATAGAATCGCGAGCTGTGTGGCATGTAGCGCCATCTTGTTGAAACCACATGTCAACCAAGTTCAGTTCTTCCATTTTTGGCAACAAAAAGTTTGTTAGCATCGAACGATAGCGATCGCCATTCACCGTAACGTTGCGTCCAACAGCATCTTTGAAAAAATACGGTCCAATGATTCCACCAGCGTACAAACCACACCAAACAGTGCATTTTTCGGGATGCATGGGCAGTTCTTGAACGGCTTCTGGTTGCTCTTCACTCCAAATGCGGCAATTTTGCTTATTTACGAAGCCATTCAACCAGAAATGAGCCTCATCGCTGAACAAAATTTGTCGATAAAAAAGCGGATTTTCCGAACACTGATTTTGGTAATAAAATTCAATGATTTGCAAGCGTTGCTCGTTAGTAAGTCTATTCATGATGAAATTTCAAAGCATACTGAGCATCTTTCTCTTTGACACCATGTCTGAAATCCCACGTGATCTGTCAAATACTAATGCATGAAAATCCTAACCTCAAAAAAATCACCCTTTAGAACGATACTTGTATTTAATTAAAGCTACATACATACATACATATGTATATATGTATATTCATATGTAGGTACTTGAATGAATTCTTCGTATTCATCTTAATTTTAGATGTTTTCTTATACATGGAAGATTTAGCTCCAAACGTAATCATTCAAAAATAATTTCGATCTAAATGCAATAAAAATGCACTTGCTGTGGCTCACCAGTATTATAGGAATATCTCTGTTACACCTACAGCTCAGCCAATGCAATGATCTTGAATTGCTGAGTGTCGGCGCAGTCGGCAGAACACATAAAAATATTGTTGGAAATAGCAGCTCGGGTGCAAATGGGAATGATCTCACCGCAATAAGTATTAACAATAGCATGCAAGGAACAATCTTTACTGGCGTCGGAACAACAAGCAAAGCTATAACATCTGATGATGACTCTGGGGAAACCATTATTGGAAGTGCTGTTAAGAATGTAGCAGAATTATCTGACCGGGGAATCAGAACTAGCGAGAGTCTCTTACCGCCAGCAACATTCCCTGTGCAAAGCACCAGCCAAGATGGAATTCCCACTGGTACAATTTATAGAGGACTTAAGCACACAAAGGCGTATGGCCATCAATATGGTCACCCATTATCTGGCTTGGCAAATTTAGGAATCATTATACCTAGCAATAAAGGAGCTAACATGGAATATTATACACGAACAGCTGGAATCGGAGGACGTAAAGTTTATTCCAAATTGGATAGTGACAGCAGCCCAATTGACAAAGCGAATGTCAGTGGAAGTAACGTGGGGCACAGCACATACATGTAAGTAGATTTTAGCTTATATCCTATTTTGCCCAGGAACAAAACTATAAAACTCTTATGTTAAATCAGTCGCTGAGTCCGAAACTTTGCTTTTAACTAACGTTGATCACCTTTATTTTGTGACAATATCCCTTCTGAGATCCCTTCTTATTTAACAAAAGTCTTTTTCGGCGGTATCTCGAAAACTCCAAAGTATAAAAGATATTTAGGTCTTCGAACTCAGCGACGGATTAACTGGAATGGAAAGTGTCGATCTCGGGTTTTTTCGGCTATAAACATGTATATTTAGCAAAATCTAATAAAATACATTAATATAATGATTGAAATAAAAAGAAAATTAACTATCGATAATATGAATGTATTTAAAAATGTGTTCTTCCTATGGGCACAAAACCGTTGGTCAGTTTTAATCGAGAACAAAAATCTATTAAAATTTCCTCCTGTATATAATTGTTCCCTCGAAATTCCCAAAACCATTCTCATATGCATACATACTTAACTTCAGCGCCATATAAACATTGTATGAATGTTCCAAAAAGACCTTCGATCAGCGTTGCCAGGTTGACGTCTTAAACGTAATTTGGGCGTTATTTGTATCCTGTTGACGTTTGGACGTTTATCGATGCAAAAATTACGTTTTTTACCTTCCCATAAATCTTTTTCTATGCACAATATATTCAGTGTAAAGCGTACTATTTGCATGTAGAGCAGTGGTCGGCGCTTCATACTACAATTGTGAAAGATCAACTCAAACGTATTCTTATAGCCCGAACACAATGAAAACGACGAGCTACAAACCACAGCTGTCAAATTATTTTAACACGTGCTCTTATGTAGATAATTATTTTGGCGACGATCAAGCGACGCGACGGCTGTGGTTGTGGCCAGATTAGATCTATTTCTATTTTTCTGGCGACAGATAAGGTTCTTCCTCTTCTTTTATGTCAAACTCATACAAATTCATGATGTCGCTGCCGCGTTAAAAGAAATCATGTCGACAACGACAAAGCGTTTAGATAATGAAGATGACAAATTGGAAGCTGTGGTCTGTAGCTCGTTGTTTTCAATGTGTTCAGAACTTTACGCTCTATCGTTTAGTCGTTGGCTAGAGAGCAACGAATCAACATCGTGTTTGGCTGTAGCGCTTTGCTTCTTGTATGCAAAAATGCCTTGCGAGAAATATTACATGCTGAAAATGCTTTTGGTGACATGCAATGCCTTTTGTGTTATAAGTCATTTAACAAAAAAGAATATGCTATTCAAAGACATTTTAATTCTTTTCATAAGGAAACATTTTGATGAAGAAGAAATACAACGACTTTTTAATGAAAAAAGTAAATTTTTTCCAAAGAATTAAAGGGTGGTTGTTAAAGGGAATATGTATGCGATTAAGACATTTTTAATAATTTCATAATGATATGGAAAATTTTGATGAACACGAATTTCGATTTTATTTAAATTTTCAATATTTGACGTGGGTGAATCCAAATGAATTTTGAAATTTTTGATTTGAGTTTTACTTCAATATTTTCATAACTCAAAAAACTAAAAACTCGAGAAAACCAGTTTTAAAGTTTTGAATTTACATATACTCCAAAGGGAAAAATTAATACATATTTAGCTTTATCATTTGTTTCCGTGAGTTTACTATGCGCGGATGAACATTTTTCGGGTGAACTATGCAATTTTTACACATCATAAGAAAGAGCTAATGTTCATTCTTGCATACTTAACACGATTTTTGCTTTTTTGGGATTATGATACTTCTATAGTAAATGAGCGATGCACATATATGTACATATGTATGTGTTAAATATATGTGTTTATATGTTTTTATTGAAGACCGATAAGTTACAAATTTTTTCACTTCTTGTAATTTCCTACCGGGTTGCTCATGCGGAGCAGTTCTCTTGTTCTCACCAACACAGTCACAGTTTAACTTTTGCCGACCACTGATCAGTGTTGCCACACAATATTTTTATTTTTTACCAAAATCACCGAAAAAAGTTACCAAATTCAACAAAAAATTACCAAACTTATTTTATGTGCACTGTACAAACATACACATCAAGCCCTAACCGCCAAAATAACAGAAATATTCCTAGAGCATCTAGATGCCTTTCTGCAAACAAAAAAAAAATTTGAAAAAAATGTCGCTTTCGTTATTTTGGCAGTTAGGGCTCTATATGTATGTTTGTTCTGCACATAAAATAAGTTTGGTAATTTTTTGTAATATGTTAAAACTTATCAAAATATGGTGCGCCTATAATTTTTTCGACCACTGTATGTAG